TGCATAACTCCAGTGGCTTCCTAATAATCGGAAGAGCGTTCCAGACGGCCGCAGAAGCGCATCCAAAAGCGCCGCGCGACAGAGGTCGCAACCGAGTACCCGATACCCGTACCCTACCCGATACCCAGCTACCCGTACCCGGCCGGGTACCCATTTGCGACCCTGGTGCGGCCGGGTACGGGTACGGGTAGGCCGTGAGTCACTGGTGAGTAACCGTTTGTCACTCATTTCGGGTAGGGTACGGGTAGCGTACGGGTACCCGTACCCGGCCAAAAGCCGCCGGCGCTGCGAGGACGACCGGAGTTTGCGCGATGGTTTATTGCGCGATGGGTGGACCGACCATCCCTAGAGTCCACTCTTTTACACATCCTCGACTTTTTCTCCACCTGTGTGCCTCCCCTTCCATCCCGTGGCACCTCTCCGCACGTGCCCTCCTCCTCCTGCCGACCACCCCCCCCCCAATCCGTCTCCGATTCGGCCATCCTCCGGTACCTGTTCCTTGTTGGGCAGGAGGCAGCGTGGGGAACTCCATGCGGCGCGGGCCAGCTTCAGTTTCTCGGGCCACGGCGTGCGGCTGCCCTTGAGCGTGGCCGGGATGGTCGCGTAAACGCCTGCGCTCTCCATGGCTCGCTCCGCCGCTCCGGGGCTACTGCTCGTAGAGCGACGGCGACGACAACAGCAACAACGACAGCAACAACATCAATAACAGCAGCAACAACAGCAATAACAATAACAGCAGCAACAACATCAATAACAGCAGCAACAACAGCAATAACAGCAGCAGCAACAACATCAATAACAGCAGCAGCAACAACAACAGCAATAACAGTAGCAACACAGCAGCAGAAATAACAACAGTAGCAGCAACAACAGCAACAACAGTAGCAATAACAACAGCAGCAAGAACAGCAGCAGCAACAACAGCAACAGCAGCAGCAATAACAACAGCAGCAATAACAACAGCAGCAACAACAACAGCAACAGCAGCAGCAATAACAACAGCAGCAAGAACAGCAGCAGCAACAACAGCAACAGCAATAACAACAGCAGCAACAACAGCAGCAATAACAACAACAGCAGCAGCAGCAACAACAGAAACAACAGCAGCAATAACAACAGCAGCAAGAACAGCAGCAGCAACAACAGAAACAACAGCAGCAATAACAACAGCAGCAACAACAGCAGCAGCAACAACAGCAATAACAGCAGCAGCAACAACAACAACAGCAGCAATAACAGCAGCAGCAACAACAGCAGCAATAACAACAACAGCAACAGCAGCAGCAATAACAACAGCAGCAACAACAGCAGCAATAACAGCAGCAGCAACAACAACAACAGCAGCAATAACAGCAGCAGCAACAACAACAGCAGCAATAACAGCAGCAAGAACAACGGCAGCAGCAACAACAGCAGCAACAACAGCAGCAAGAACAACAGCAGCAGCAACAACAACAACAGCAGCAGCAGAAACAGCAACAGCGCGTTTAGCCGGGGAAGGTGTGGCAAGGCGCGCTTGTGGTTCAGGCAGCTTCTACCTCCGCTCCATTCCCCCGGCACCCGATGTTCAGAACGATGGGCTGAGCATAACCAGCAACGTACCGCGCTTAAGAAGACTCCCAACTTGAGGGGTGGTGCGAGGCGGCTCTGAGACGGTTCCAGCACGCGGGTTGGGGGACCGCGTCTCTGCAGACCCGTAAAGGTGCTCTATCCCCAACGCGTGCACGGAGACTTATCTCCCGTTACTCCTGTTAATATTAAACAACATTTTGTTTTTTTCTTCTTCGTTCTTTCGGTAAAGTCACGTAGAAGGAAAATAATGAAATAAAAATAATAAAACATAATAAAATGTTTTATTTTTGTATTTCCCTTCTACGTGACTTTACCGAAAGAACCAAGAAGATGAATCCCTGCAGTCACGAAAGCTTTAAATCGAAAAATTAGTTTACCATCCCGATGGAGACTTTCCCGTTACGACATCAGAAGACGCAAACGCCGTGGTCACTTTCCAAAGGCGTTTTCGCTCATCGCATCTCTCGTGCGTTCGCCGTTGTGGTCATTTCCACTGCAATACGTTGGAGGCGAAAGGGCCTCCTCCACTAGACGGAGGTCTAGGGCCAACTACTCTCCTACGCTGGCCATAACGCCTTTGAAAGGGGAGGCAAGTACCCACAACTTTACCCCCCCCCCCCCCCACACACACTGCCGATTCACCCATAAAGAGAACTGCTGGCGGGCTGCGAGATAGAACCGGCAAACATCTCGCGTGCACGTCCACTGCGTTAACCGTTGCAGCATCCTGAGCTACATCCAATATCGTCACGAACGAAAGGTTAGTGCCGGTTAATAACAGAGAGCAGTAACAACATTTGCAAGCGCGGTCTTAAATTTAGGCAACCGGTTTCAAGCGTCCACACATTTCCAGCGTCAAAACCCCTCTCCCGTGGCATACACGTACCGTCGTCCAGTAAAGTATGTTTTGTTTGTTGTTGTTGCTGCACTTTTAAACTTTAAAAAAACCCAGAGGCCTACGGCGAGTGAGAGCGAATCACCACGTGGCCACCCAAAGCCACGTGCGGAGCTCCCCACGGCGCCGGCCTCGCTCCCTTCCGCTTCCGGGTCCGAGTCGGGCGGGGGGGGTGCGTTCGTAAACTCCAAGCGGTTCGGAAATTAATTTTGATTTAAAGCTTTCGTGACTGCAGGGATTCATATTCTTAGTTATTTCGGTAAAGTCACATAGAAGGGAAATAATAAAATAATATAAATATAAAACAATAAAAATTATCACGACTGTTTCGACTGCAACACAAGCTATCATCATCAGGTGTGAAATCCACAGCAAGAAAATTTGAAAAAAGTGTGTATATATCCTATACTTGAACATTGCCACAATAGAGGATTTGCTATCGAGTTGAGAAAACATTGAAAAGTTACTAATATATATTTTGCCATACGCTTTGTTATAAAGGGGTTACGAAACTGACCCGCCCCTGCTGGACATCTGATTCCTCCAGCAGCCTAAATAATGATGCTGGTAATATTATCAGCTCTTCATTCATTGAAATAGATGGAAAAAAGTAAATATTTGTACTTTTATGGGAGCCAAAAATCGGATACGTTGAGGTTGTTGCATTTATTGTATGAATAAAGCAAATTGTGACTTAAAAGGAGTTGTTTTCTACGTTTTTTTTTATTTTGCACTTGTTTTAAGTTGTCAATGGGCTCATATTGCTTAAGCAAATGCGGGCTATTGTATGACACTTAAAAACATCGGTGAGTATATGCAGCTGTAAATTCATGAGCTGCATTAGCAGGACATTTATTCCGAATGAATTGAATACAATTGAAAAAAAAACACATCACAGGCAAGCGTCGGCAATAGAACCTCAAAAAATTCAACAGATTGCTTCAAAAACATGTTTATTAACACCGAAACAACTCCAACGTGTGAAATAATGCACGAATGACACTAGTCATACATTTATACAAATCGTAACAGCAGCCGAAGCCTTCAAATCCAACAAAACGTTAAACTATTGTTAACAAATTATTAACACTTTCTCAACGCCCACAAATCAGGCAAAATTCAACTCGAGCCATCACTGGTGCTCACAACCACTGCTGGCGAAAGGGCCTCCACAAGACAGGAGGTCAAGAGCCAACTACTCTCACACGCTGGCCATAACGCATTTGGAAGGGGTAGAAAGGACCCACAACTTTACCCCCAACCTGCCGATCCACCTCTACATTACTGCTGGCGGACTGCTGGGAGATGGAACCGGCGTCTACTGTGCTAACCGTTACAACAGCAGCATCGAATGTTGCCACGAACGGAATGTTAGTGCTGGTTAATAGCAAACGGTAACAACATTTGCAAGTGTGGTCTCAATTAGGCACTTGGTTTCAAGCGTACGAAATATTTCCAGGTTCAACCTCGGTCCTGTAGCACACGTACCGTCCAGATTATAATAAAACCACAATACGAACGCACGTGCATTGATCTCTCTCCATCGTTGCCAAGTCGACAATGGTCACCCTCTATGGAGAGACGGCCGAATGTGGAATTTCCAGCACTGGCTCGAGATCCTCAAACAAGAAGAACAAAAAAAAGAGTCGTGCCAAAGCTGGATTGAACATAGGAACATACATAGGACATAAACAAGAATAATTACGGCAAAAGTCAAGTCAATGAATAAGAATGGTAAATAAAAAAGAATGGTAAAGTCAGTTTGGTGACCTGCCTAGTGCTATGATAATTTACGAGATGAAAGAGACAGACACAAAGTTTGTTCCATTTAAGTATGATTAAATCATGGCATATATTATTGACTGTTATGACAAAACTTACTAAACTATACCTTCGAACTTGCCAATGTTGTATTGTCCAATACACACGTGACGTTACCTTTAAATTAAATTGTACTGACATTGGCATGTGTCCCGTGTATCATCATCTGGGATCCAATTTATCTACATATTGAGTACAGCTTGTACAACACAATTCAATCGATTAAGACTGCTTTTGAAACGATTTAAAATTACGCTTTTCCTACGCCACCAATTGTAACCACTCCCAAGGAGGGAATGGTTACATTTCCTTTCTAACACGCAAAACACACTCGCCGTACACAACATTAAGCATGCCTTACTAGCAATGCATTGACCAGTGTGTATTGACATGAGTAACCTTGTGTGGGTTACGCATTAAACAGCAGTTACAACCTAAATATTCGAAGATAACTAATGCTTACCCATTGTAATATATTGTACAAATGTTTTTTGTTAACAAATACATTTTTACATTTTCTCAATGCATTTAATATTACATTGGGGTGTTTGCAGCTGTTTGCAATCCTGTATATTGCATGCTCAATTCCAAACAGACTTCCTGCATTTTCCCACTCTCCACTGAGAAAAAATTTGGCCCTCCATGATCTCCTCTAGTTTAAAACTACCAACACAAAACACAATTTGCCAAAATAAAGGGACATTTAAATATATAGAATTTAGACTAAAAGGACTGTTTTATAAACTTTCTGTTTACCTGTAGCCAATTTATCTTGCTTGTTATAGCAGCTCGCCACACAACATTGTGCGCGTTACAAATCAGACTTACGTGTAACATTCAAGATATGGCACCGACACACAATAATAGCCTAGCGTCTTCAAGGGAAATGCAACCCACACAAACACAATTAGGTCATTTTTCATTACCAATATAACAGTTCCCTCGCAATGTAATAGTTGAACTAACTCGTGCAATTAAAACACACAGTCAAGTTCCTCCCTATAAAACAACGTGAATGCAGCCTTTGTGATTTTTAAAATTTTCTTACATGCAAGTTGGTCCATGAAACAAAATAACATGAAACAACTTCCACTGTTGTACACGGTGCATCGTGGTGTAGCTAGAGTAGTGAGGCTCCAGCATGGCTTGAATGGCAATTATATATCGGACGCAATGGCATTGCACCTGAAACTCACATTTTGCTATATTCTTGGTTCTTTTGGTAGTCACGTAGAAGGGAAACAATAAAATAATACAAATATTTTTATTATTTTATTGTTAATAAAAATGAATTTTGTATTGTTAATTAAAATAATTTGTATTATTTTATTGTTTCCCTTCTACGTGACTTTACCGAAAGAACCAAGAATATGAATCCCTGCAGTCACGAAAGCTTTAAATCTAAATTTAACATTTTGCTGTTCTTTTCAATTCCGTAAAAAAACGAGTTAAGCTTCAAATCGCATTGGACAGGTCATGAAACCCAGTCTTGGTATGTAGTAACAAGACAAATATTTATTCTTTGGGGTTGTCTTTCTTGTCCACTTTACAGCGTACGGCACAATTTTCATATGGACTAGGTCAGTAAAGATTCATCACCTGAAATGTAATCCCATTACTCGCAAGTGCAGAAAACTGCGCAAAAACGAAGTTATCCCTTCAACCAAAGAAGATAATGTGCAAGACAGAAGGAACAGCTTCGTCGGAAGAAATCTACAGCCTCGTGAAATTAGACCGTAACACAGGATGGTACAACAGCATAGAACAAAGTACGCAGTAGACATCATGGAAAGCGCAAATTAAACAGTACATATTCTGAACGCAACAATGCAGGGGAAAACAGGCAGCGCAAGTGGGGCAGTACCAACAGCACCAATGAGACAGTATAGGGCAGTACAGACAAGATAGCAGACAGGAAAAACAAGACAAAAAGAGATGACTTTGTATTAAATTGTCACTACTAATTGTGACAGATCATATCACATCAGGGGTGAATCGATACGTGCACACTCATAACCAGTTGCAGATATTCACAGCAGGCATCAAACCATAAGCAATGTGCCGACTGCCTTAGTGGGGATTGCACCGATGACGAGGCATTTCAGCCACGGCAGCAAAACTAAAATGATACATCTGTTGTTTAACACAGCCTTCTGTGAATTGCATTATTCATGAGAATGTGGAATACTTTGTTGTTAAAGCAAAGGGTCAAAGGGCCTGCAGGCATCACTGGAATGTGCATCATCCGGCACTGGTAATACACTGACTGTGCCTGCAAACCCTCAAGTATTTCCACCAGATCCACAACTTATGTGCAAAGCAGACAGAAGATTTTTAGTGGAAATCAATACTAATGCTACGGTGCAGTGAGCCAAAGCACACTCACACATACACCAACGGTCGCTCGATATACATTTATTTATTATTTTAAAACAAGGTCTTTGTTGTCGTCAGTCCACGAGTCCGATTATGGAGCGCTGAAACAACCATAAACCGGGTAATAAGAGAACATAAGCTGTGACGCACTTGTGCCAAAACGTCGTAACGCCGGACTGAGTCGTGCTCGTGGATGAACTGCAGCACGTCGTCACCCCAGTGTCCCCGATGAGGAAGCGTCGACGACTCATTTGTTGTTGGGGAAGGTGGTACGCGCACTCCGCGGTGTGGGCATGGCCATGAGTCCCGGCTTGCGACTGAAACCGGTCCAGCTTGCGCCCGTCGCGCGCCCGGGGGGGGTGCAAGAGCGGTCCATGAAGCCCACCGCACCCCCGCCGCTCTTGACGCTTCCGCGCTTGCGAGCGCCGGCCCGGCCCCTGCCGCGGAATTGGCCGCCGCGTCCACCGCTCGAGTAACTGCTGTGGGCAATGGAGAAATGGTGGAGAACGAGGGGGTGGGGGGGGCGAGATGGTAACTACCTCGCTTGGTATACAGGAGGTCGTGGGTTCGATCCCAACCCTGACCCCCTGGATATTTGGGGTTTGCGTGTTCTCTCTACTTGTGGTCACGTGGGTGTTTCTCCGGGTCCTCCGGTTTATCCCTCAACATTTAGAAACATGCGTTTAGAGTAATTGCCTGCGATAAATTTCCACGTGATAAGCCACTTCGTTGAGCAATCATTTGTGCGGTCAGGTCACTTCTATTTTACCTGGTAAAATAAAAATAGTTTATAGAGAGGCAGCAGTGGGGAAGGAGGCATGGACGTAGCTGGCTAAATCACGGGGGTCTAAAACTATGCTCACGTCAGCATAATGGCAACTCCCCGAGCTAAAATCAATACACTGCAACTTCAGTTTTTTCCCGGAAACACACCCTCGCAGCCTAAATGGGAGCAAGAAAACAAACCTTGCGGTGGTGCTGCAGTTAAGTGACGGTGCCACGCGTGCATCATATCAGTCGCCACCACAACAAATGTCGTAAAGAGGCATTATATGATCGGCAAACGGCCGTTTTAAATGCTCTGCATATACCGGCATCAAGCGGAAAAGGTCGTCGTAGGCAAAGTGCGGTTGCCTTTTCGAGGACAACAACGTCGATGTCGCAGCCCTCCAAGAGACTCGCGCTTAAACGCCTGTGTCACAGGCTGTCCAACCTGAGTGTCAAGCTTCTTTAATTAAAAAAAGTCAGTTATAACCATGCATTGCATCAATGTGAATTATTACAATGTTATGATGATGTAATACATTAGCCCATAATTGTTTGTTATATCTTGAATCTGTGTCATTAAATCAAGAGCCCCTTTTGGAGGGTACTTACATGCATCTAAACAGTGTATTAGTACATGCCTATTCGTGTTCATCGGCTGCCCTCTGTGGGAAGGAACTCACCTGCCCTCTGCGCCGTCTGCCGAGACTCTACGCCGCTTGTAGTTATTGCCCTTGTAACTCCGGCCACCGCCTCTCGCCTTGCGCTTGCCCGCCCTGCCACGGCGCCCCGAGCTAAAGTACGCGGAAGACGATCCCGCCGATGGCGGAGGGGATGGGGGGACATACGGTGATACGTGGGATGTGCCAGACGACTGCCCGGGTTCCATCGGGCGGCTGCAATCCAGCCACGTTCCTTCGGTAGAGTTGGTGCTGTTCCCTGGGGCAGAGATGCATAAATGCAGGAGTTTAAGACTTTACATTTCGAAATTTTGCTAGGTTATTTAATTCAGTGCGTCTCTCTCCCTGTCCCCTCATTTTTGCAAGCTTCTGCAGCGTGCCACTCATTGACATGCTAATTTCTCTAACCCCTCCCTCTCTCTCCGCCCCCGCCCCTTCTCTCTATTTAAGGCCTCGACACAGAGACATGGTTTCTCTGTGTGCCTATGTACGTCTCTCTCTCTATGTATCTCTGTGATATCTGTCTCTACTTATATGTCTGTATATATGTCTCTGGTTCTGTGTTTTATCTCTCTCAAATTTAGCATTCTCAGGAAGAACGTAATCAACCAGGTAGGGTGTTGACTGTTATGTTATCCGACTCTCTGTTATATTACATTACATTTCTAAGTATACTAAATTTGTGTTTCTATTTCATTTATACCTGATGATGATTGCTTGTGTTGCAATCGAAACGTCGTATGCTAGTATTTAATTTATTACTTTCTCTTTATACGTGACTTTACCGAAAGAACCAAAGAGTAGTTTAAGACCAGTTTAACACGTAGGCTTTCGTGACCAATATTATCCATAATACACGTTTTGTGGGTTAGATCGCTTAAGTATATAAATGTATCGCTAAACCCGCCACCACCCAACACAGCCAATTATTAAGGTTTGTTTTAAGGAACGAAACAGGAGGATTTCTCCACAAATCTGGCTGTCGCCTGATGAAGCTAGTTGTAATTACTGGCGAATCCAGGTAGCTATTTTGACTATACCGGGCTCTTAAGTACAGCAAGTCGAAGGTCTAAACTCAGTTACGAATAACTACGCAAAACCATTATTTAGTTTTTCACTTAATATACCGTCATCCAGCTATGAGGCCTAAAATAAATACGGGTATCTTGCCACGTGGCACTCTTTGAAGGACACACACACACTAGGTGTGCCACCGAGTGTGGATACGAGGTATACGAAGGGAATCTTGTTGTCGTTACGCGACATCATTTTCCAGTGATCATTCTCGGACAACAAGTGATGTTACCCTGCGCTCAGTGCGACAGCTCAAATGAAAGTGGATTGATCCCGTGATACAATGTTCACGGCATTATACCAATAAGAATCGAAGACTAGCAAGGCAAAGTTTCACACCAAGTAGCCAACGCAGGTGTGTAGGGTCTTACCTGGGAGGCGCCACTGTGTGTACTTGCTCATGACCTTCAAGACCTCGGTGCCATACTTTTGCATCTTGTCTTCCGTGACGCCCTCGATCTGCAGGAGAGCCTCCGCATCGTCCGAGAAAGATTCTGTGGTCATCAACGACATCCAAAAACGCAACGCATTCAAATGAGCACAGGGCCGAATCCCATCTCCGTTTCTGACCCTTAGCCAGCAGGAGGAAATGTATACATTTTTACGGGTGGTAATCTGTACAACTGTACGAATATCACTGTTGACGGTACTCTACTTTCATCAGGCTCACAGAGACAACCGGCAAGGTCAGTCCACGGACAGAGGATTGAACTCGAAACCTTCAGGTAGTTAACATCGTGCCATGGTGGCGAGATGTTAACTACCTCGCCTGGTATACAGGAAATCGTGCGTTCGATCCCGACCCTGACACCTGTATATTTTGGAGTTTGCGTGTCTTCTCTCTCTCCCCGTGGTCGCGTGGATTTTTCTCCGGGTCCACCGATTTTTCCCTTCACATTTAGAACCAACGTGCGTTTAAGAGCATGCGGCTGCTATACATTTGCCGCACGATAAGCCACTACTACTACTACGTTAAGCTATCATTTGTGATCGCCGGGGTTGCTTCTGAAAAAATAGCTACGTTGCTCAGGGAGGGCCTTACCCGATAAGATAAAAAAAAAACAATAGGTTCAAATTTGGAAGATCGCGTGCGTCCTTCGTACCCGCGATCTTGCGCAGCGTGACGGTGCTGAAGACGTTGTAGTACTTGATGCCGTGCTTGTCCCCGAGGCGCCGACACAGCTCGGTGAGCTCCTGCGCACACTGCTCCGCCATCACCTGCACCGTCGAGGAGCCTCCGCACACCTGGGCGCGGCTGCGGCGTATGCTGCTGCTGCAGCTCTCCGTCTCCTGCAGCTCCACCTGGGGCACACATCGGGGGACGCGCGACACGACTGGGTCTAAACTATTGCGCTGCCGCGACGAATTCGTCGTTATGTGCTCCAACAACCAGGTCGAGGTTTTTGTTTTCATGCCATCTCCAGCAAATTTTTCATCGTGGTTGCGGATCGGATTTTCCACGCACCTCCGATTAGCACGGTTGGCTATGTACGGTGCAAAAGAAGTTGAATATATATACATACATAACACAAAATAGTTAGGGGGGGAGGCTCACCCTTCTTGTCACGTTTGTTGTTGAACGGGAAGTGATGGACAAGGCATATGATTCATCGGCATTGGTCAGACACATCACGCTGGCCGTAGCTCGTAGGGGGTTTCCTGCCTTCGGGAGACAGGATGTGGGTACGACCGCCATTTTTCAAGGGGCCCCGAGTAATCAACCACAAAGTGATCTATGACAATTTTGAGTTCATCAACCCTTTCCCGTTCCGATGATGTACAGCACGTCAACGTACAGGCACGTCAACGTACACGTACGGCATCGTACGTCAACGGAACGGAATCGGAGTAAAAGGCCATGCGGGAGGGCGTGTGGCCCAGCTTGGCGCCAGCCATCATCGAGTGCGGTCGTGTCGCTGCGGTTCTCTGCGGTGAGTAGATTGTCTTTAAAAACAATGGCGTTACGCCTCCTCGAGATAAAATTAACGCCGAACCGCTTGCGCGTGTAATGTGAGGACATATCCGGGTTGCTGTTGGATTACACCTCGTACGATGATTGGCTCTGCCGGTCCTGGCCCATAGCCAATGGGGAGAAGTCTAGGGGCGTGGCCCTGACGTAATGGGAAGGTGACATCTGTAAGTAGAGGATTGGTTCTGCTGGCTTTAGCCACAGCCAATGGGGGGACGAGTCAGGGGCGTGGTCCTGGGAGCGTACCATGGAGTCTAGAAGATTCCATAGAGGCTAACCAGGATTGGTGGAAAGGTACCACGTGACCCAGGTATTAAAAGGGGTGGGGAGACGAACAACACGTGGTCAGATCTGGAACGAACGGAGAGTGAGGCCACGCTGGAGCGGGGTCCAGGCTGCCACGTGGCCGCGCGTGTCTCTCTCCCTCTCACGCTGTCTGTCAGCAGCGTGAAGGAGTAAGATGGGAGTGTTGTGAACGAAAGACAAATAAAGACCGGATTCCAGAAGTCGCTTCCACGACCTTTATTACACGCGTTCCGAGATTCGGCGGTGAACGGGACACCCGCCCTGCGACTTGCAGACGTCTCGGAACGGGAAAGGACTGAATAAACCCAATTGTCCCAGCTCTAGGCCGCGGAACTGGCTCGCACCTTCAACATCGTTCCAGCGAGCAGGTCGTTGCCACGCGATCCGACCCCGACGTACGACACCGCCTGGTCGTTGCCGGTGATGTGCAGCTCCTCGTGCAGCAAGCCGTCCAGCACCAGCTTGCGGAAGAGCCGCTCTGCGTTGTGACGCGAGAAGCTGGAGCCAATACCGAACATGGGGCCCGAGGTCATGCGGGCCGACTTGTTGCCTTGCGTGGGGGAAGGCCACAGAAACATGTTACCATGGTTATGAGTTTTGTTTTAAGGGTTTAGTCGACGTGTTTTTTGTTTTTTAAACACATTTGCCCACGTCCAAAATTTCGAGCGATTAATTTAGCATGCTGCGCTACATTTGTGGGAGGCATTGGGAATTGCACCAAGAGGCAATCTACACAGACCAGCGTGGTCAAGTATGGTCAAATAATCCCGTCGACCTACACAGATTCGGGGAGGTCCCCTTTATACGCAGAGTCGTCCCCCCAACTTCGTCTGGCTTTTAAGACGTTTTACCGTTTCAAGATTTTAAAATCAACGCCTTCCTTCTCCAAAAATCCGATGCGATCAGCAAGGTAACTCGTTTACGGTGAACAAAAAAACCACAGGCGTACGCACGCTCATTATCTAATTTCTTTAGAACTGCTTTCAATGTTTAGTTTGTTGTCCTTCCCCCGCACCTCCGATGAGCACGGTCGGCTACGTACGGTGCAAAAGAAGTTCAACGTGTGCACACACACAGACAGAGCCAAGCACGCGGGGGTACCTAGGAAGATGTCGACGAGCATGTTGAGTGTGTAGCGCGTCGTCGCCACGCCCCCCCTGCTCCCCCAGCTCGACGATTGCAGGAAACGCACGACCGTCTTGACGTTCTCCGTCACGTCGCGTAAGCGGAACGTCTGTTGCGGACAAGGAGGCGACGAGCCGCCGCCGTGCGGTGAGCAGTTGAGCTCGACAGACAGGTGCATCAGCCGATGTCGGTTTTTTAGAACTTATTCTGGCTGAGGGTCTGTGTCCCCCACTTGCGATACGACGTTTTCAGAAGGCTCCCCTCCCCCCCCCCCCCCCCCCCAGGTACATTTGACATAGATGTCAGAGCTCACCGTAAACCATACATTCTCATTAACTTAAATACATTTAAATTCCTTTAAAGTTATATTCTTGGTTCTTTCGGTAAAGTTTCTTCTACGTGACTTTACCGAAAGAACCAAGAATATGAATCTCTGCAATCACGAAAGCTTCAAATCAATACTTTAAAGTTCATTTCCGAATTTTACATCTTAACCATGTGTATATATATATGTGTCCCCACCAAGTTACGTTAGTAAACGCATTTAAAATATTTTTTTGAAAACTTTGATTCATGTAGATAAACAGTCCCCCAATAAAATGGCACACGAACATTGAACTTCGATTTAAAGCTTTCGTGACTGCAGGGATTCATCTTCTTGGTTCTTTCGGTAAAGTCACGTAGAATGGAAATAATAAAATAATAAAAGTTAAACATAATAAAATAATTATCACGACGTTTCGGCCACAATGCAAGCAGCCGTCCTCAGGTGAAGAACAGGTCTCTCATTCAGATGCTGTCTTTCTGACAGACCTGTTCTTCACCTGAGGACGGCTGCTTGCGTTGTGGCCGAAACGTCGTAAAAATATTTTATTATGTTTTATTTTTATTATTTTATTATTTTATTATTTCCATTCTACGTGACTTACCGAAAGAACCAAGAAGATGAACATTGAACTATCGATACACAGCTAAGGATCAAATGTGACTCTATCCAGCACTAAACTCCTGCTTAGGATGTTGTTTTTAAAGGGAGACTTCAGGCCTCACCTGCATGCTGCTGCAGTTGTCGCAGGCCACGGTGGGGTTCTTCCGGCAGAAGCCCGGGTCGAACCCCTTCTCCCCAAAGTAGGCGAGCAGCTGCAGGCGCCGGCACTCGGAGATGTTCTCGCAGAAGTGGACCATGCTGTGGAGGTTGCTCATGTGCATCTGCTTGCTCTCACGCGAACCACCTTCCCTCTCCGTTGCTGCATCGAAAACATCAAAACGAAGTGCTGTGTAAAACTAATCATTACTGGCAAAGACTCATTAGAGAATCCATTTAAATTGAAACAGAAATAATTTTAATCGCTCTGACAGCTACAGGCTGAGTGCAGCCTGGAAGCATATTATTAAATAATACATATTACAATTCCATATAGGGGAAACAAATACTAATTAACCGATTACTAATGTAGCATATAATTACAACAACACACATTACAACTGATTACTAATCTACAACTCACGTCGTAACAATTGCCTGATTTCCAATCTAGTATATAATTACAATACCCCCCCTTCGCCTCAAATCGTTGCACCTGATGAGTTAAATGATGACGTCACCCTGCTGCTGCTGCTCTACTTAAGACCGGGAGCAAGAGCAGAGCCTCACCATTATGGCGAATTGCCCGATGATGCTGGATGCAATTACCAGCGAAACGTCGTACTCAAAAATTGTTAGTGTTGTGGATTCACGCTTCAACACACCGGTGGGCTAAAGTAGTGAACTATTTGTCTTTTGTCAACGTGACACCTTTTTTTGCTGATTGGCCGTGTCGGATGGTGGAGGGTTACGACACATTTATAAATAACGCGATCTAACCCAAAAACGTTTATTATGAATAATATTGGTCGCAAAAGCCTACATGTTAAACAAAATGTAATTTTTTTTTACCAGGTTAAGGCCCACTGAGCTATGTGTATCTCTTTTTCAGAAGTGACCTGGCCACAAATGATAGCCCAATTAAGTGGCTTATCATGTGGACATTTATAGTAGCAGGTCAAACACTCGAAAAGCATGTCGATCCTAAACGTGGAGGGAAAAAAACCAAAGGACTCGGAATCCACACGAGCGCGGAGAGAACGTGCAAACTCCAAATATACAGGGGTCAGGGTCGGGATCGAACCCACGACCTCCTGTACACCAGGCGAGGTAGTTGACAATTCGCCACCGTAATGAGACATCGCGCGACTTAAGCACAATACACGGTCTGTGTCGTTTATATGACAGTGCATTCGAGTCGATGCTGAACACACCCCTCTGGAGCCGACATGATGAGTAATGTGGTGGAAGTCAACAGTGGTCGCCCTATAGCGAGACCGGCCCCCGTCATGGAAATGTGGAATTTCCACCACTGGCTCAGGGCAAACAATGGAAATAATCATTGCTTTAATGACTGGCTGAGCAGAGAGACACTTTAACGTTCAACCATGAGAGCATCAAAGTACAAGTTTGCTTACTCTTTAGTTCTTTCGGTAAAGTCCCGTAGGTGAAAATAAAAATAATAAAATAAAATGAAAACAGTTGCTGAGGCATACCTCAGCAAATGTTTTCGCTGTGGTTGTCCCCACCTGAGGACGGACGCTTGTGTTGCGCCCGAAACGTCGTGATTTAATTTAGTTATTTTAATTTAATTATTATTTTTATTTCCACCTATGTGACTTGCAGTCATAAAAACTTCAAATCTAGAATTACAAGTTTGCTTTTATTCCTTCCTTTTCCCCACTGTCGACAACCACCTTTACATCCCGTCGTTTTTATACGCAATATAAATCCACGTTGCATCGCACTCCAAAAACACGTGGTAGTTCCCACAACCAATACGAAATCGCGACGGCCCCTCGCGTACAAACTCACAGAAGATGATTCTGCGCAATCGCGTGACGTCCCCGTAGCCGTAGAAGAGCACGCACTTGGCCACGATGCCGTCGCGACCCGCGCGCCCAGACTCCTGGTAGTAGCCCTCAATGGACTTGGGCAAGGACGCATGGATGACGTAGCGCACGTCTGGCTTGTCAATGCCCATGCCAAACGCTATGGTGGCGCAAATGACCTGCGGCAATGCACAACCAAAGCATGTAAACGCAGCGTACACTCGAAATATACGACATACTTTTTTATGGATGATCGCTATTTGACCAAGTGGGAGAACGATGCGGTGCATTAAACACTATTTCTGTTCCGTGGTGGCACATGCCTGTAAGCCAGCTTCAGGCGAGTAACTCCTACCAATAAGGCAACAATGTAGCCAGTCGATACCAATAATCAATTTAGACTAGGGTTGTTCAAAATGTTAACTGGCAAAACAGTACTCTGAAAGTCAAGACTCCATCATCGTTTCTCGTGGAACTTTCATAATTAATGCACGAAATGGCAAACAAATCGGAAGGGCGGTAGGCCTAAGGCACCACATCGTACATTTGCCCTCCTGCCTCAGTTCAAAGTGCAGCGGTGCAGCTCCTTTCTCATGCCACCATTTGCAGAAGACGCGCCACTGAGGGCGCTCTAGAAGATATTAGATCTCATTTTCCACGGGGACAGAACATGTTTGAAAAGGTGGGCATACCCATACTTCACCCCATCACATGCAACCTGCCGATATTTAAAATGCTGGGTGGACAGAGGCAGCGAGATTGAGGAAACCTATCGGTGTTGCAACTGCTGCGCAGAAAGATTGAATCGAACTGGCGACCTCTATATACTGCAAGTGCCGGAGTACGAACCATCGCACCACACAGCAGTGGTCGTTGGTGATGCATCTGGTAGAGGCTTCTCTCCATTCTCTCCCTTGAGTCTCAAGGGGATCTTAGTGGCAGCTTTGCCTGTGCGGCACAAGTTCAACGCAGGACTGCAAGTGGGCATCAGTCTGCCAGATGCATCACCAACGACAAAGGTGCACGCACGAACCTTGCACCCGCGCTGGTTGATCCAGCACTGTTGCGACTGGTCACGCTGCTTGTCCGTGAGCCCAGCGTGGTAGCTTAGGGCATCCAGCCCCGCCCGCCGTAGGGACTCGGCCATGGTGTCACACTCGTGCCGCGACAGGCAGTAGATGATGCCCGAGTCGCCTGCGGACACACAAAGATTCACTTGTAGCCTTTACCGGACTGTTGGAGGAAAAGTGCCGTTAGCGAGCACCTATGAATGCCGGTACGGCAGACAAGGGGGTGGTGATGTGGCCAACACCATTCGCAGCCACCTTGGGTTTCCCCCCACACGACGGTTTGCACACCACATCAGCTACTCATTTAAGGCTGAGTCAACCTAGGGGAGCCACAGGACTGGTTCTGATATCACTGAACTGGAATGGCTGGGTCCGTAGCACAGTGCGCTACCCACTATGCCACCACTCCCCAGAATACATGCACGGGCACACACACGTACATGCAACACAGAGTTTAAGAGACTCCACATTTAGACTAACGGCAAGGACTGTTAGCAAAGACTCATTAAAGTTAAGTGAGCAAATAATGGGGCGGTGTTCTCAGAACTACAAATGGCCATTAGTGCCAAAGGTGACATCACACTCGATAATCATTTAAGGTTGAATTAACAAAGACACAGTGATGACACCGGAATCATTATACTACTTGTAACGAAAGATGTACATGGATAGACATTTCATGCCATATCGTGGCAAAACTACAGCAACACATGTGTGCGTGTGCGAGCGTGCATACGTGGGTAGTTGCTGCGTATCCACTGCACGCAGTCTTCCGCAACCTTCTTGGGCTTCTTTGGCAAAACCTCGTACTTCAGGTTATCCCTGTTGAAACTCTGGATGAACCTGAAAAACAGTCAAGGTCACACGCCAACATATGCAAGATCATGTAATGCTAGACTGCTCGGACGACCATGAACACATTCCTGCGGAGGGAGCTGGTAGGAACGTTGGGTTGCTCGGTCAATGGCCAGGGTCAACGGCGGCGTGGTGTATTCCGCAAATATGTCCGACTGTGAGGGCGGGCACAAGCCGGCGTGAGTAGGTTAAACGTTGAGTTTTATAAGGGCACCACGGGGTGACCAGCCCCTCCCCACCCAGCCCCACTCCTCCCACCCCCAAGCCAGCCCCTCCCCACCCTCCCCACCCAGCCCCTCCCCACACAGCCCCTCCCGACCCTCCCCACCCAGCCCCTCCCTCCCCACCCAGCCCCTCCCTGCACGACAGACGGACGGACACAATAATCCCCTGTGGGCTGGTGTAACCAGGGGGTTCCAACCAGTAAAAGCATCATCTGCATTGAAGCCAAAAGTTGGTGAAGATCACCTCAATATATACAAATGCTTCATCAACAACATAGCCGAGTTGACCTAGGGGATGCCCAGAACCGATCAAAAAAATTGTTACCAAATGTAAGCCGTGAACGAGAATTTAACTCGGGTTAGCACGCTAACCACGGCGCCACAGCTCACCGCATCCAATTACGCGTGCATGCACACACACAGCACCATGCCGCTTACAAAACAAATGCAAAGATCTCCCGTATAGCTTAGACTGTTGGGGAAAGTGCTGTTTGCGAGCACCTATGAAGGCCAGAACGGTAGATGAGGGGGTGGGTAGCCAACACCATGCCCAGCCACCTTTTTCTACCCAGTGGTGATGTTTACACACCGCACCAGGTACTTATTTGAGGCTGAGTCAACCTAGGAGAGGCCCATGACTGGTTCAGATAATTGTCACCGATGTTGGCGGTGAGCGGCCATTGAACTTGGGTTGTTGGGTTCGTAGCGCAGCGCGCTAACCATTACATCCCCGCTTACACACACAGACGCGCGCGCTTATGAGAGCACACACGTGAGTGGCGCCTTCATGGTGAGCTGGTGCAGGATGTCGGTCTGCACACGTGTCGTCGCCGTGGCCGTCAGCGCCATTATGGGAACCGTCGGGAAACGGCGCCTCAGCTCCGACAGCCGCTTGTAGTCCGGCCGGAAGTCGTGTCCCCACTGCGACGTGCGGATTGTGAGCGACACGCGGCGAGGAGTTGTTATGAACGGATTGGCAAGGGAATGGGAAGATGCTTGGCAGAGTAGACTTCCTTTAAATGTTGCCAACTTAACCCTTTCGTCATCACTCTGTGGTTGATAAAGTGCCACTTTGTATCAAGTAAACAACGGTCATATTTTGGAGCCTCTGGAATCCACTTTAGGAATGCAAAATTTCCACCACTAGCTCGGAGTTGCAACAGAGGCAAGCACCGCGGGACACTTTTTTTGTGTGTTTGGTTTGTTGTCCATCCGACACACCTCCAATTAGCACAGTTGGCTACGTATGGTGCAAAATAAGTTCAACGTACATACACACAAACAAGACGATGAAATATTGAAACTTACAAATATAGCAACCACTAAAGTCAGTATTTTCCATATAGTTCAGTTTCTGCACGTTATGGCCTGTTGAAATGACAACAGTTGCCTAGTCAAATTACACGTCTCTGAATGTTGCCCGAGGCATCTGCATGTCCCACACAGTGTCTTCATTCGAGTGGATGGGAGGAAAAAGAAAGCTTACCTGGCTCACACAGTGGGCCTCATCGATGACAAAACGGGACAGCAGCTGCCTCTGGTAGAGATTATCGAGCGCCGACAGCAGACGGGTGCTACAGCTCAACTGCGCAAGAGCCACAAGCAGAGGGGGCAACACCGACACAAACCAACCAGATTGGAGCGGGTTTAAATTGACCATTTAATCGACTTAACCGGTTTAGGCATCCAGTCTAAAAGCAGTTATTCTATTTTTCATCATTTTCGTTTTTTGTAAAGTACGCAACCTTAGCTCAGCTCGTAACAGACTTAACAAGTGTACTTCATGGGCACATTCTCAAGTAATTAAATAATGTGACATCATTTGGTGTTTAACATACCTGATGGGACAAAATGTGCAACGGAAATTTTAATGTAAAAAATGATATTGTTTTTATTGTTCTTGCTGGGCATAAAATGCAATTGGATTTCATGACCTAACGAGAGTCCACTAAAATTAGAAACAGTGCTATCACAAAGAAAATAGTCCCCTCCAATACTCGATCGGTGCAACGAAGATACTGGCGGCGAAAAATAAATATAGTTTGCAGCCCCAAGTGGCAGGCTCATGTGAAAATAATCTCCGGGTCAGACGAGGCATCCCTGGCAACAGTTCCCTCACACCTGGTGTGAATTAACAGTTGTACCTAGAGCCCATGTATGCAAGTTAAAGTGGTGATCCTCTTGTCTTCTGCCTATGCACACACGGTCACACCTTTTCTGGTGTCACATATAAGAGCTTGACCACTGGCTCCTTCTTGGCGAGCTGCATGTAAATGGAAGCCAGGTCTCCGTCATTGATATCACCAGAGAGGTGAGTCGCCGGGATCTGTGAGACACGCAGCACGAGTAGCACCAACACTCACCATGCACACCCACACACTCTGTGCACCTGCTCCATCTCCGCAAACATATACACACGCACACTCTCTACCACCGAAGACAAATATTCCCCATATAGCAAGCACCTATGAAGGCAGGCACGGCACACGAGGGGGTGAGTTGGCAGCCGCACGCCCGACCAACTTTGTCTCCCCAGTGGCGATGTTTACACACCGCACCAAGTACTCATTTTAAGCTAAGTCGACCTAGGGAAGGCCCAAGACCGGTTATGGTAATCGCCACTGGTGTTGGCCGTGAGCAGGAATCGAAATCGGGTCCCCAGTTTGTAGCGCAGTGTATTAACCGCTACTCTACTGCTGCCCACTCTCTCACATCTCACACTCACTCAGACACACAGACATGTGCGCAGCAGTCATCCTTCATCACACATACATACACACAAACGTGCACATTACGAACATGGCATGGAGAGAAAAGCAGCTGCTGTAATATAATCACGATCTTCCTTCTGGAATTCCCTCCAACTTTGCTTCGCGGTTTTCCACTCTAATAAATTTAATCCACCATGTAATTTGTTTACCTTGGAACGAGTTGGGATGAATGGTTCATCCCTCCATGATTGGAATGTCGATATTCTGAGTCGTAATTATATTCACACACTTTGATTTCTCTTGTATTGTATGCAGTCTGGATAATAGTCTGAATTTATTTTGCCAACATTGACCATTTGATGCATCTATTGTGAACATAAGAATCAATCCCGATATCTCGAGTGACAAAACATTGTCACTTTTATAAGTGGAACCTTGATGATCACTGTTATATTTATATTTTGAGCAGTTTTAGAAGTAGGACACTTTCATAGTTAATATTTCAGCTATGATACTGGGCGCACAATAATGTACACTTGCAAATAACACTGTCGCATGAACTTTGTAAGCATATATTGTACTTGGGTAATCCCTTAAATAATAAATTGGCAGCTGTCAGATGAACACTTGAACTTGGAAAGTTAACAGTCAACCTGAGCCAGTTAGTTTAATGAAGCAAGTATGCTAACAACTAGGCTACTAATTTACCACACATTCACTATAACTATCGATTAAACGATCTAAGATTAAGGATAGATGTAGAGGATATTAATTATTTTAGATCAGATGACTGCCAACTGAAATTGTCTTCTACAAGAGGCATCTTGGTGAAATTTAAGCTGCAGTATGCGATTGTCATGGGTGTTGTAAATTGCAACGCACATCAAGTGATGCCAAACGCTGAACTTGGTCGACGATGAGAGACCTCAGCGGTGACACCACCACGCTGACACCCGGAGACAGACACGCAGGGCAGCTGGTAACACAGACTCTTACCACCTCCTGCACACACACACAAACACACACGTACATGTATGCAGACACAATAGTCAAAAGACAAAGGCTTAGCCTTGTAAACCAGGGGCAAGAGACCTCGGGGATGAAGTTGCCACGGCACATACTGAGGTGTGTTTTATTTATTTAGTTGGCTTGTTTCACCAGGCGAAAACTTGAGGCCAGGGTAGAGAAACCTGGCGCATCACTTCCCGATGCCTTCATCTTTCCATTGCTGATCTTCATACACTGCACAAAGTACTGGCAGAACGCTGGATTGCCATAATCAAGGCCTAGCACAGACTCGGATACCATTTGCGCACTAATTTCATGCACGGCCAGGAATTGAATGTGGATTTTCAGGTTTGTACCTCAGCAAGCTTACAAAAATATAAACATCAAAACCAGTACTCGTGCACACACGCACTCAAAGACAGACTGACATGACATGCTTTGGTCAACCCCATCAGTCAGAGGACTGAAACCCCTTCCCCCCACGGACAACCGCTAGAATTGACAACAGTGCTGTGCAGGAATATTGAAAGTGCATGCATATTACACAACAACAACCGCCATTCGCCACTAAGTGGCAGTGACGTCACCACACAATAAACAAGACAAAGCTTCCCCGTATAGCTGTAACAGTCTATAGGGGCACGTACCATTATTAACGAACACCTACTAAGGCCGGCACGGCACACGAGGGAGTGGGTGGCCAACACCACGCCCGGCTGCCTTTGTCTCCCGAGTGGCGATGTTTACACATTGCACCAGGTACTCCTTTAATGCCGAGTCGACCTAGGGGAGGCCCAGGACCGGTTCAGATAATTGTCACCGGTGTGGCCGTGAGTGGGAATCAAACCCGGGTCGCCAGGTTCGTAGCGCTAAACGCTACGCCACCGCTCCCAACACAACAAACACATGGATACATACACACCGGTGGGCATGAGAACAAAGCAGTCCCGGTTGAACATGGCTGCGTTGATAGCTTCTAGTTGGTTTTTGCGAAAGCGGAGGAGGCCAAACTTGTGCCGGAACACCTTGAGCATCTCAGCGGAGTGGGGGAACGATGTCCCTTGGAACTCGTGCAGAACTTGCGCTGATACACACACGTGATAACAAAATAACAATAGATATTATAACTTACTTGACAGGCGAGTCTACCATAACTCTTTTCTTAACATGGGTGACATAGAATAAGACATTTTGTTTACGGTTGAAACTTGTTATCATCAATGGAAACATTTTTCCTGCTAATTTACAGTCAGTATTTATTTCTTTGCTTTCAGACGGGCTCGAATATGGCTCGGTAAAGTACCAATCTCGATGGCCAACGACTCATGAACTGACAAAGCAATTGATTTACAAATTAGTGCCATCAACTTTGAAGGAAATCGTTTAAAAGACGGCGAGTTTACCTTCGCGCAATGAGCTTGCGGTGATTCGACAACGTCTGTGCAGGCGTGGCATGGACGCCCGTAGACAGGCTTTTACGCAGTGGGGGTCCTTCTTTGATTGGCTTGGGTGTCATACAATCAAAGCCTTCTTGCCCATCTACGCAATCACCATCCGCCACCTGCTGTGCCCAACTTTCATCATCGTCGTTAAAGTCGTCGATGTCAAAAGCAACGTCGTTTCGGAAGCGTCCGCCATCGTTGTCCTTCTTTTCGGCGATATTTTCCGAAAAGTCGTAATCGTCGCTCAGATTGTCGTAGTCGGGGGCGTCTTCGCGAGCGCGGTCGCACGACGGCTGGAGGTCGCCCCCGCGGGGTCTCCACGTATGCGGGAGGCGCGTGTGAAGCCCCTCGCGTGGCGTTGGGTGTCTCGTAGCTGGCGCTGATGGCAAAGGGACTCCAATTTTTGCTGACATCACCTGGGTTTCCAGCCCTGTGGCTCACAGCGTCACCACGACCGGCACTAGCGGCCACAGCTTTCGTCATGAGCGATGGAAGATTTAAATCATCATCGTAATTCATGTCAGAGTCACCATCATTATAATAATTGCGCTCATTCGATTTTATGCGCAAAGAACTCGTTGATTTTGAGCTCGCGCCTGGGTTCGGGGTGAGGTTTGAGTCTTGATTTACTACATTCACGTCCGATGATCTCCGATCTTGAGCATCTGAAATCGTATGTGGTGGGTTGGTTTCCAATATGTCCAGCTTCCGTATAATGGCTTTGCTGAATAGAGAGCAAAAAAAAAAACCCATAAATGTTCATATTATTATTTCAATTGCACAGCGCCTACACAACCACAGTCACTGCAAATTGCAGGGAAATAAAAATGATTTGGAAATGTATTGTTCAAGTAAAAAAAATGTGTAATGTGGTTCTATTGGTACTTGCCGCACTAGCTGAATGTGCCATTGCACCTGGCAGTAAGCACAAATGCATACCAATTTAAATGTAAGTGGAATCAAACGTGTGGCTGTATTCATGGTTGTGCAACTTAAAATTATTACCATCTTCACTAACAAGTACTGCCACATAAATGAACAATATATGCTAATATTTTGTAAATTCTCCTTATTCATGAGGCATAGATAATATACTTTAAGATCCTTGTCCAAAATATTAGCTTAGTATATAGTTATACAGCCATAATAATTTTAAAGCCAATGTTAATCAATTACAAGAGGAAAATATATCCATTTGGCATTGTACATTTGGCTGTTTATTTTCCCTACACAACACCATACTTGCTTATGTAAGTGCAATTCACATGTGACTAAGCATGGTTGTGTGTGACAATACTGGCTGATAAGCATTTGGTTGTTCTGGTTTGTGTACTCACATTGCGTGTGGCTGTATGGGAGAATGTTAGTGCAAATGTACATGCAGCAGCAGCACTGTGATTGAAAATGTGTTGTATACACAACTGGAAGTGTGGTTAGAAATGTAACTGTGCCTGTTTTCAAGTGTCAGGTTTATTTTGTTTACCCAGGTGGAAACGCAAGAGACCAGGAATCGTCTCATTTGCAAGAGTGGCGAGGGGAATTAGTCTGCGAGTCGCGGGCGATGATTGCTATGTACAATCCCCAATGGAGTAACTTCAAATTCTGGCACACAATGGTCTACTCTTGCAAATGAGATCAGGGGATCTTTAACGTCCACTTTAAAGCCAATGGCGAGTATTAATGTTTATTACACCCGCAGTAATAATCGGGGCGGCCACTGGATTCGAACCATGAAGCTCTGGAGCAAGCGGCGCTGCCGATGGGCCACATCACCGCATGTGCGACATATTACTATTTTACACTTAGTTGCAAATTCTGATCTGAGGCTGTACATGCAGTTGTAAGAGCAATTCTACATGCAGTTGCAATTATAGTTGTGTTCATTTTTTACAGTGCAGTTGCACTTACAGGTGCATATTTAACTGCATGTGTACATGAGGCCTTGTATTTCTATACACACACACACCTGCTGTGCAAGTGACTGATATTTATTTGGCTCCATTATTCGCTCTGCATGCTTACTGCTGCTGTGGTGTGCGGTTGCACGTTAATTCATGCACGTAGGTGCGACACCCACCCCCTGGCGAGGTGCGAGAGTAGCTTGTGGGCATCGGCGGGCGGGATGGGCAGGCTCAGGATGGCGCGGTGTGGCACAGTCTCCAGCAGCGCACACATCGAGCGTGACACATCGCACAGCATTGTACGCAGTTGCCCTGCACACAGGCAGCACATCAAACACAATCTTAACCATCAACCAGGAGGCCACATGTCTTCAGATATGCTTACAATAGGCCGAGTGTGATTTGTTAATTACATTTTTCAGGTCATGCATTGTGATTTACCAACAATCAAGAGTTTGTTATACATATGCCAGGCGGTGGTGGCTAGATACTCCTGTAATCCAGCATGTGGAGGTGAGGAACGGTGGATTGTACGAATGTTGTGAAACTCTGTTCCCTTTAGCATCAAGGTGCCATACCCTGAATCGCCAGAAGGCCGTACAGCAAGTGCATTAATTGCCATCTTTTCCATCTCTACGGGAATACAGTGTTGCCCCCTCGTGCACATTGTTTTCTCCAGGTGCTACAGCATCCTCCCTCTTGTACAAATACTTATTGTTAATCGGCTGAAAACATCTTAAAATAAATATCCAAAGCAGACTATTCTGAAAAAGAGTAATATGATTCGATGTGGCTTCCCTGAATAAGTTAATTATTGTTATCATCAATTCACATGCAAGCACATCTTCAAAACGCTTTGGCTGCATTTTTAGTCATAATGTGTGAAGGGACTTTGTGGGGCACGATACAAAATATTACCCTCCATATAGCCCCGCAGCCTATAACAACTGCTATAGACTCAACCCTGCAGAGCTTCCAGCTTGGCATCTGATGAGGTCAGGTACATTCCGGGTGATTTTGTCATGGGGTTTCATTAAAACTTACAGTCATACCTCGGTATACGACCACTTCGGAATACGTCGAATTTGCTATACGTCGTGTTTTGACGAGAGAAAAAATGTCTTGGGATACGACGTCTTGCTTGAGATACGACGCGCTTGCTAGAACTTGCATGGGTCGGGATGAGTCACCGCGTACACAATACTGTTATGGCTCTAACAAGCTGTAACAGTATTGTGTGGAATGGCCAGACAATGTCACATTTCAGGAACATTCTTAGAAGGCAAAAACTAACTTCAATGGACAGGTTTTTAGTAAAACTCAAACCTGGTGAGCTTCAACCAGGTCCAAGTCAAGAAAAAAGAGAGAAAAGAGGAAAAACTCCAGAATTTCAGCTTCCTGAAGTTTTAATCCTCCTCCTCCCCTTCCTCACCACCATCCTCGCAGGCTATCAACTCCTCTCAGCAAGGTAAAGTGACATTACATTTTATTTTTATTTAAATTTATTTTAATGTATGCATTTTAGTAATAAGTAGTGTCTAAATTATTTTATACAACCCCATTAATATATAATATGCCATTTAAAATATCATTTCTTATACTCTGGAACGGAAAATTTCCTTCTTTATTTCTTATGGGAAAAATTCATTTGGTATACGTCATTTTCGGTATAAGTCCTATCATCTGCGACGAATTAACGACGTATACCGAGGTACCACTGTAACTTAGGATTTGCATGCTACGTGTATGTCACTGTTCCGAGGCAGATGGCAACATGCCCATTACCTGGCTCTGTGGGCATACTGGAGGGCAGAGTTGCGTTGTGGCCCAGGCTGCTCACAGAGACGACTGGTGGGGGCGACGGAGATGGCGGCACATACTCGTCCTCAAATGAGTCGTCCTCAAAGTCAACTGTGGGTTCAAGGGTGGATGATGATGAGACAGTGGTTTACGACTGCAGTTACGGTTGGTTGTACAGCAAATTCTCGATTATCCGGGATAATGTGGGGGGATGGGTGGCCAAATTAACTAGAATATGGATGATGCAAAATATCTGCATGTTACCAGGCACATGTACATATTGCAAACCTATGTAGAATGGGGTTGAGGATTTAGAATTTGTCATATGTTTCCTTGTTTCTTTCAAGTAATCGGTTTACGTCGTGACGTGTTTACGGCCATGCAGGCACTGATCGCATGGTGCCACGCTTTCCGTTATTTACCATCCAAAAGCGCAAGAAAAACTTACGTTCATGGAGTTCGACAACACCCGGGTCGTATCTCATCTCTTCACACGGAGTTCCTTTAAATGCCCACAAACACACAGAGAACCCACATTATTAAGCAATGAAATGTATGGGGCCAAACCTCCCCGGCACATGTAACTCACATTTCCCCTTATATGAGCAACATAGCCATTCAGTAGTACTGGTAAATGACTTGAGCGTGCCACGCCATTATGTGCATGAATCTTGGCCAGACTGGGTGGGTGGTTGATTTGGACTGTCTGCATTACAAACAGACTTCGTCATTGTATTCCATGAGCTTTTCTGTGCTTAAAATACCCGAGGATAAAATTCCAGGTTCAAACATCAAAGAATGAGCCATTGTGTAGCAATGTAATTACACATTTAAAAAAATACAAACTTTTTTTTAAAATGACTATTCATAACATTTAATTCCATGCGAATATGTAATTAAGGTTAGGCCGCTCTACCAATAGATGATGGATCACACTTTCATTGCACCAAGTTAATTACTTTATAAAAACGAATTGATTGCAAATATATCACAGACACATATTTACCACTTAATCGGTATATTTTTTTTTTAAACCAGTCCCTTATGTACCATTAAAGCATGGAGACGTCTGGCCAGTCTGCAAATCGGTCCCAGGAAGTAAAGGTTGCTCAGGAACCAACACCGTAGCATCGCCATAGTCATCATCATCCTCATCATCGTCATCAATTAAGATCCTCCCACGCTTTCTTCTTACGACGATGTCATCATCATCGTCGTTAATACGCCCGTCATCAACGGCTACGTCCGAAACAGTAATGATGCTGTTGGAAGTGCCTGAGAGGCAAAGAGCTGTTGCTGGAACGTTCTCTTGAACGAGACCTCCGCCATTAGCTGGTTGGACTGCTCGCAGGGCAGAGCAGTTCAGAGCTCTCTGTTGCTGGTGGGCTGGTCCCATTTCGAAGTCATCAAAGTCCGAGTCTGGGTTTGCATCGTCAAGATCTGTTCGTGCGTTCGCCGTAACATCGTCCACCACACTCTCAATCTTCTGCTCGCTAATCGGGCATGTACGGTCACCCATGGGTGTCACCCATGCCACTTGACGCGCCGGAATCGGCGCCGGCAACGTGACCGCGGGCTGAACCGGCGAGCGAGTCCCGGTCGACGGGGGCTTGTCGTTGTTCGGCACCCGAGAAGTTGTTGCAATCGACGCTGTTGCCAAGGTCGCTGCGGTCTGCTGAACGGAGGGAGAAGGCTTCGGATCTGGCCTCTGCAGGAAGGTGCTAATGCGGCTCTGTTGCGAGTTCTGCAGGAGTTTTTGTGGACCCCTGTTGGTTCCGACAGGCAGTCTCCTGGTCGGACTGCCAGGCAATTTATTTGCAATGAGAACGCCACTGGAGGGAGCGAATGTTCTCTTTGGAAGGGCACTGGACAGTTCTGGAATTGCTGGGCCGGATCCTGTCTTTTTAAATGTGAATCCAGCCCTGTGACACACAACCAACCACACACAACGTAAAATTATGTTGCAGTGAATTTACTAAGTATATGATTGAAAGCTACAGACAAGAGACAACACACTGTGGGGCCAAGTTTTTCAAACAAGTTGCAGTTTTTGCATGTATTATTATCAATCTTCACAACATATTGTTCGAGCTAAACAGCCGATTAAGGCAAGCTACATTTTCCACTCTTCTGGTATTTACTCACATTCTACAATACGAATATACAGATAAATATAACCACAAGTTAGTGTGTTTAAAAATATATATATACAATAGGCGACGTTTTGAGTAATGGCTCTTCTTCACAGAACATAGAGAAAGCGGAAAAATAGAGTAGGTATTAAGAGTTGGAGACTAACTATAAACTTGTATTTTACCAGGTAAGGCCCACTAAGCAAAATATCACTTTTTCAGAAGCGACCTGGCCACAAGTGATAGCCCAATGAAGTGGCTTATCATATGGAAATTTATATCAAATACTCTAAAAAGCGTGATGTTGATTCTAAATGTGGAGGGAAAAACCGGAGGACCCGGAGAAAAATCCACGCAACCACGGGGGAGGGAGAAAGACATACAAACTCCAAATATACAGGCGTCAAAGTTGGGATCGAACCCACGACCTCCTGTAAACCAGGCGAGGTAATTAAACTCTCACCACGGCGTAAATGTCCTTTGCTGGACAACACTCGCTGTACGTGTTCACCTGCACTTGTCCACACAACGGTGCACGTACAGATATATGTGTGCGCGAGTCTCACTTGGGCTGGGCTGCGGGAGGCGTGAGAGCGGCATTGCGGGAACGCGACAGCTTGTTCTGATGCAGCCGCAGTTGCTCCTCGAGATTATTCTGAGGCAGGGGGTTCATCCTGAGTGCACACATTCATACAAAACATTAGAAACACCCATCACCACCACCACGACGAAACACCCATCACCACCACCACGAAACACCCATCACCACCAGCACCACCACCACGAAACACTCATCACCACCACCACCACCACGAAACAACCATCACCACCACCACCACGAAACACCCATCACCACCACCACCACGAAACACCCATAACCACCAGCACCACCACCACGAAACACTCATCACCACCAGCACCACCACCACGAAACACCCATCACCACCACCACCACGAAACACCCATCACCACCACCACCACGAAACACCCATCACCACCACCACCACGAAACACCCATCACCACCAGCACCACGAAACACCCACCACCACCACGTAATCAACAACAAAAAATCACCATGCTTTCACGCACCAGATTTTGCAGACAAGTTAACAACTCAAAAGGTACCGAGCCAAGCTAAGGGCTGCCTCCCAAGGCCTGACCAAACAGACGGTAGGACTTTAGCTGTTTCTTGAAAGTCAGAGCGCATTTGATGTTGTGGATGTGCAAGGGATTAGAGAGTTCCACACCAGGGGGCCACAGCAGACGACACAGTAGTAAGCATCAACCAATGTTGTCAACGCACAATATAAACAATAGCAATTATAAATTTTGATTTAAAGCTTTCGTGACTGCAGGGATTCATATTCTTGGTTCTTTCGGTAAAGTCACGTAGAAGGGAAATAATAAAATAATACAAATATAAAACAATAAAGATTTTCTTGCTGTGGATTTCACACCTGATGATTCTAGATTTGAAGCTTTCGTGACTGCAAGGATTCATATTCTTGTGTTTTTTCGGTAAAGTCACGTAGGTAAAAAATTAAAATTAATAAAAGTAAAATAAAATTAAAATTAAATAAAAATCACGAATTAAATTTTTTACCTACGTGACTTTACTGATGATTGCTTGTGTTGCAGTCGAAACGTCGTGAACATTTTTATTGTTTTATATTTGTATTATTTTATTATTTCCCTTCTACGTGACTTTACCGAAAGAACCAAGAATATAATAGCAATTGTAATTAAGAGCCCTGTACTGTGCAACGCAGCGATGGGACATGAACAGTTTCCACCAGCGGTCCAGGGCCCACACAGTGGGTGAAAGTCTGCAGTTGATGGAGGGGCTTTTTTGACTTTCAGAAGTGACAGCGTGACGGGTAAAACTGTGGAGGGCGAGATATACAAAGAAGATGACAGTGAAGATAAAAGTGAAGATACAAATGAAGACGCTCCATAGACTGTGTGGGCTTTCATACTCATAACATCAACCTGCCCACTCAAGATCTCAAATCACCACTAAGCTTCTCAGGACGACATTGCGTGGATCGCTAAATTATAGATCCCATTACCGTATAAGCTTTTCACGTCATATGAAAGGGCAGTTCTGAGAGTTTCAACTGCTGGCCACGGGCTAACATTTGTGGTGAGTGATCTGAAACTGACGCTGGACCACTCACCTCAGCAAATCCGCAATGGCCAGCGTGGGGTTCAGTGTGGTTGGTGGTGTAAGTGGTTGTGTGGCTGTGGGCTTCAGTGTGGTGGTGGTGAACGTGTGAGTACCTGTGTAACTGAAGGCTTCAATGTAACTGAAGGCTTCAATGTGGTGGTGGTATAAGTGGTTGTGTGGCTGTGGGCTTCAGGGTGGTGGTGGTGAACGTGTGAGTACCTGTGTAACTGAAGGCTTCAGTGTGGTGGTGGTGGTGAACGTGTGAGTACCTGTGTAACTGAAGGCTTCAGTGTGGTGGTGAACGTGAGTACCTGTGTAACTGAAGACTTCAGTGTGCTGGTGGTGAACGTGTGAGTACCTGTGTAACTGAAGGCTTCAGTGTGGTGGTGGTGAACGTGTGAGTACCTGTGTAACTGAAGACTTCAGTGTGCTGGTGGTGAACGTGTGAGTGGCTGTGGGGTTCAGTGTGTTGGCTGTTGTGAAGGTATGGATGAGGGCTTGTGTGGTGTTGGTGGTGAATGCGAGTACCCGTGTAACTAAAGGCTTCAGTGTGGTGGTGGTGAATGTGAGTACCAGTGTAACTGAAGGCTTTAGTGTAACTGAAGGCTTCAATGTGGTGGTGGTGGAAGTGGTTGTGTGGCTGTGGACTTCAGTGTGGTGGTGAACGTGTGAGTACCTGTGTAACTGAAGGCTTCAGGGTGGCGGTGGTGATGGTTGTGGTGGTGGTTGGTGGTGGTTGTTGTTGGTGGTTGTGGTGGTGGTTGGTGGTTGTTGTTGTTGGTAGTCGGAGGCCTCTCCAGGCCTCGCCGCCTCTCCACACAAACTCCCGCGCGATCCCACTGCGACTAATGGCCGCGTCTATTGGTCGCCTGGCCGTGACGTCACCCACAGGGTGCGTTCGTTAACTAAAACCCCGCGCGGTCCATGTGTACAGCTGTCGTGCTGTGACTGTTCCACCTGAAGACGGAAGCTTGTGTTGCCTCCGAAACGTCGTGATTTTTATTTAATTTTTATTTATTTTTTATTAATTTTAATTTTTTACCTACGTGACTTTACCGAAAAAACCTAAGAATATGAAGCCGTATCTCCACAGTTACTGTCGTGTCTATAACAATGTTTTACGTGCTGTGAGGAAGGGCCTATTGCCCGAAACGTCGCCTATTGCATATTTATTTTCATGCACTCGTGTTGACGAATGTGTTGGGTTTTTTTTGCAATTAAATACCGCATCTAAATAATCTCGCCTTCTGTGACATCTGTGTGGCTCCACCCCCCACTCTAAATCCCTCCCCCTTTCCCCGCCCCCTTTGGGAACAGACGCTGATCCTCTGTGCGACTCACGGATGCTTAAATTTCGATTTAAAGCTTTCGTGACTGCAGGGATTCATCTTCTTGGTTCTTTCGGTAAAGTCACGTAGAAGGGAAGTAATAAAATAATAAAAATAAATGAATGACGCTGTCGCCTCGACAGACCTGGTTTTCACCTGAGGACGGTTACTTGCGTTGTTGCCGAAACGTCGTGAGAATAATTTTATTGTTTTATTTTTATTATTTTATTACTTCCCTTCTATGTGACTTCACGGATGCTTCTTGATCCTTTCTTCATCTTGTTATTCCATACCCCCCTCCCTCTCTCATCATCCACGACATCTTGGCCCTGGTCATTCCTTTTCTCGCCGTTCTCCGCTCCCTGCCTAGCGCTTCATTCCTTACTGCTGCTGCTGCTCATCTTGAATCGTTCCCTCTCTGTCTGTCCGGGGTTCCTCTTCATCCAAATCATTATCTTCACCCTTAAATTTCGATTTAAAGCTTTCGTGACTGCAGGGATTCATCTTTTTGGTTCTTTCAGCCAATGTCTCCCCGACAGACCTGGTCTTCACCTGAGGACGGCTGCTTGCGTTGTGGCCGAAACGTCGTGAGAATTATTTTATTATGTTTTATTTTTATTTTTTTATTATTTCCATTCTACGTGACTTTACCGAAAGAACCAAGAAGATCATCACCCTTCCTCACCCGTCGGTCCCGTTTTTTTTGTCCCGTTCCCTCCCTTTTTCCTCTTCTTTCCCATTCATTATCTTCGCTCTTCCATTTCGCGTTCCTTTTCATGTGGGGCCGTCCATAAATGACGTCACGCGATTTTGGAGGATTTTTTTACCCCCCCCCTCCTTCGTCACACGGCGTCACAAAAAGTCAGACCCCCCCCCCCTCAAATATGACGTCACAAAGCTCTGCCCTCCCCCTAAAAATAAAACATGCTTCAAATCGCTTTAAACTATTGTCATTGTAGTGCGTATTTAATGTGGCGCTGCACTCTGATGTTGTAGGAGAAAACATTAAAAAGTATATTTACTGTAATTAAGTAGAACGTGTTTATATTTATTTAAAGTTGCGCATTTTGATGTGACGTCACATTTCTGAACCCCCCCCCCCCATCGTCACACATCGTCACAAATGTCTGACCCCCCCCCCCCCCTAGGTGCGTGACGTCATTTATGGACGGCCCCTGTACCCACCATTCGTTGCGTCTTTGACTCTACTCCCCATCCCATCCCGTGGTGTGTCACCGGTCCAAAGGTTTGCCGGTGCAAATTATTTCGTGACACTGCGTTTGGCAGTGGCGCACAACCACTCACGGACAACGAAATAAGAACTCTACACGTCCATCAACAACACTGTGGCGCTAATAGGGGATACAAATGCGTATAGCAGACGACGTGTCGAGCAACGGTCCTCCTTCATAGCACACACTGGCCAGAGAGAGAGCGAGAGTAGATACGAATTGAAGACCAATCATCCCCTACAATAATAGGGGATAATTATTATTTTTTCTTTAATGTTTTATGTAAATAATTACCTTAATGGCACATGTTACCCAGGTCACGTCCAATAATTTTCCACTGAATCTCTCCGGCATCTCCTCTTTATGCTATGAATGTTGCGACAGAAATGTCGCAAATTATATTCTTCCGTTTCGGGCCACGGGGTTTCATTGACAAATGTGTAAAAAAAAATAGAACAGTTAATTCGTAACTTGATGTGAAGCTTTCGTGACTGCAGGAATTACTCTTTGGTTATTTCGGTAAAGTCACGTAGAAAGAAAATACATTCAATAATCGAGTACGACGTTTCGATTGCAATACAAGCAACCGTCATCAGGCAACAGCAGCCACCAGCAGACCCACCTCTCTCTCTCTCAGCCCCCCCCTCTCTCTATTTAAGGCCTCGACACAGAGGCATTGGGTCTCTGTGTGTCTGTGTTGTCTCTCTCTGCTTGTGTGTCTGTCTGTGTGTGTCTCTCAGATTTAGTTCGGCCTGATGACGGTTGCGATCGAAACGTCGTACTCGATTATTTAATTATTATTTTCTACGTGACTTTACCGAAAGAGCCAAAGAGTTAATTAGTACTTGTGCCCTACAGTACTGCCACCCTGCAAGACCACCGAATCACGTGTATTATTTTAAGCCGGTTGCAAATGAGATAAAATTCTATTTTTTTGCAAAAACCCAAACAATGTAAAGTCCTTTGTCAAAGTTCAACTGAATGAAGAACTCCCCCATGCCGTGGCAGTCACGAGTTATGTTTTTGGAATGACTTCACCACGATCGTTAGAGGTGCATATTGGGTAAATGTGACGGTGGGTGGGCCAAGATCGGTTCAGATATCACTCACATCTGATGTTAGTCTTGGCCGGGAATCGAATTCAAATCGCTGGCTTCATGGTGCGATCCACTAAACCACCGTGCCAAGATAAATATTGATTTATACACACTATAAGCGAAGTACAGTACACTACACTTTCTGTTAATCATACACCCGGCGACAGGACTTTCCTACTTTAGTATAAAATTACGCATTGTTTCCAGGTAATGTGTTGGCAGTGATGCACAAGCACAACTAATTTAAAAAAACTCAATACAGTCGTCGAAACTGTAACCCTAAACCACAAACGTACAGCAATAATGCCGGAGGGAGGTTTTGGACATTGGGTGTTTCTTCAATGTAGAGTGCTGCATTGTGTCACTAGATGGCACCAAATGACTGAAAGGTAACATTGGCCCCAGTTAGAACGAGCACTGGCGGGATTTCGCGATGGTTTGACATTTATCGTGAGCAGATTGTGCTTGAAATCATTCCATGTGCGCACGTTGCCTATTTCCCCACGGTCGTTTCCCCGCAAAATTAAACCCACAAGCGTGTGTTTGAATAAAGTGATGACAAAAGAAGTGATATTTAACCATCTGCCACCCCCATGCCAATGTTGACCCTTTAACCACTGAACATGTCTTCGCAAACCACCAATTCATAATCGTGGTGGGTTATCTCACGCCCCCACTACGAAGTTTGTGCCATCCAGTAACAAAAAATCTGCCTAAAACAAAGTGCTGGATTACAGGTGTCCACTGCCACACCCACCAAATATATTTCATATGAATTGGCAATGGTATGCCCGCGTCGTAACCCAAATCCTGAGAGATAATCCGCAATTAAAATGTACAAAAATAACAACTGCCCTTAAAAATGTACAAAATAACAACTGCCCTTAACTAAGTAGGTTGAAGGAAGGTATAACTTGAATTACGAATCACTGTGGCTCTGACAACCAGCTTGAGCAAATTGTAACTAAGTGGGGTATGATAAAAATAAGTTTACAAATTCCGAACCCTGAGTCGTGTGTTGCATAAAAGCCAGCTTCTGATTATTTTCAACAAAAGAGCTTCATGTTCCAGTGATAGTCGTGATAGGTTATTTTTAACCAAATACGGTCTTTTTTAACTGCCTCGCCTTGTATGTAGGAGACGTGGGTTCGATCCCGACCCTGACGCCTGCTGTATATTTGGAAGTGTGCATGTTCTCCCGGTGGTTGTGTAGAATTTCTCCGTTTTTATCCCCCACATTTAGAATCGACATGCGTTTAAAGTATTTGGCTGCGATACATTTCCACTGCGTAAATATACAATTGGTGGTCAAATTGCTTCTGAAAATGAGCTATATAGCTCAGTGGGCCTAACCTGGTAAAGATATAAATAAATAATGTGCACTAATAAATGAACCAAATCTAATAAATTGACTTAAACTCATTCAGGAATGCCTAAAATATTCAGAAAATGTAAGTGTACCTTGCTTTC